TGTAACTGCCTACTCATAATCTTACTTATTTTCTTACTACTTTACATGAGTTTCTTGTATATTCTGGGTATCATTCTATGTCTCTTTTAGACATTGCCAATTTGTCCTCCCAATCTCTGAAATTATTTGGGGTTCATTACTGAATAACAGTCTTTCATTTTAATGGAATCAGAGCACCTAATTTTAGTCTTTTGCGTAATGAGTACCTTTGGATCTCAGGTCTGTTCCTACTCCAAGATCACAAATGTTTATCTTTCATTTGGAGTATTCCTTTAAATAAATGTGAATAGAGATTCACCTAATTTATTATTTTTGTTTTTTATAGACACCCACTCCTCAACTATCTGACATGTTCCAACATGAAGGATTTTTTCCCACTCTCTGTTTTCAGGCCATTCATTTGTCTGCTACTTTTAAATTTAGAAAATATCATACAAACCGTAACAGATGATATTTACTGATGTGATCTCCACTGTGATGAGTCCAGTTTTTAATTACTCTTCTGTGGAAATGGAGGCTTGGAGGAGTGGGCCTGGGAGACTGGAGAGCCCTAGGCTTACCCGCTTCACTTTTCTCCTGTGCTGGGCCAGAACTTCCCTCCCTGAAGCCACTTCCGCTCTTACCCCTGTGAGCCCTTTATTCACAATCCTGGGTCCTGCTCAGCCCTCAGACATGGTGTGTCATTACTGCTTGGGCTTCTTGTGAGGGCGCTGGGAGCCTGGCCATGGCCCAGCCCCACCAAGGCCCATTTCAGCTCCTTTTGGAATGCCCTTAAACTCACATGCTGGCATTTCTTCCAGCGCTCTCTGATGCCTCTGCATTTCCTCCCTCTTCATAGAACAGCAGTGTTTAGCTGCAGGGCCTCAGGCTGCAGAAGAGTGGGAACCTGGAACAGATTCCGACGGCTTGGTGATGCCTAAGCGTCCACCTGGAAGCCGTGGGCATGAAGAGACCACTCCAAGTGGCAGTTGGGTGCAGTGCTCTCATAGGCAGGGGGCAGCAGAGGATGCGTGGCAGCTTGGCCAGACTGCCTGTAGGCCTGCCGGAGAGTAAATGCTTCGCAGCCTTGGCGACCATGCCTGCCTCCTCATCAATGTACAATACTCGGTAGTTTACTGCTGTCATCAATAAAGAATGTTGGATAACGAGAGTCGATAAGTGGGGATAAGAGGTTCCGTTTTGAGCCAGTTTTGCCCATTACCAACTGTTAAACAGTTGATGACCCACTTAGGGTTATGACTTTTATCATATTACCAAGCTGCCATAGAAGCACGAATTACCCCTGTGCTTATTGTCTGTTGTGCATGTTCGACTCCAGGTTCCTGTCAGAATAGCTTAATATCTGAGTGTGAGTTCTCTGTGGCCTTAAATGTTCCTTTATGTTCTTCAGTGGAGTTTATAAAGTTTCTCTCCATAAAGGTCTTATGTGCCTTCTATTAAATCAGGGGTGGGGAACCTTTTTTCTGCCAAGAGCCATTTGGATATTTATAACATCATTCACGGGCCATACTGGTCAAACATTTGA